ACCAATGGATGGGAGTGCCAGATGAGCACTTTAACCAGAGAGCACAATTTAGTAACTACAAAAAGAAATGCTACTTTCACACCGAGTACAGGGGAAAAAAAACCCTGCAAGGATGTCACATGTCACTGAATCCCACTGCAATGATTACAGCTTCCTTCACAGGCACAGTAGAAAGAATCCAACCCTTCCATTTGGCTCCTCTTGGCCAAGAGGACTCTGGTTATTTTTCTAATTATTACAACACATTTCCTCATATCTAGCTAATAAACTGGCTTGTTTTTATTGCTTCATTAGTGACTGCAAATATCACATTGGAAGGGTAGAGGAGGAGGAAGGAGTGAGAAGAAAGGCAGACAGATTAAGATCTTGTGAAGCAGGATAGATTGGCTTTAAATCAGCAAGCAAGAAGCCTTGATTTAAAACATCAATTTTAATCTTGTACTTATTTTACTAAGGACAGGTCGACTCTCATTTGTGTTAAACTATATCGGGAAGACGATTCAAATTCAATGACAAATACACAGGAACTTTTTTATTGAACTAAACAAAAGCTTTAGTGTACCGATACATCAGACAATTCACCGGATGGTTTTGTTCAATCAACATGCAAAAAAAAAAAAAAATCTACCTGCAGCTCATGAGCAGATGTCATTGTTTCTGGTCACCAAGTTTTAAAATAGACTTTGGCGCTTCAAGGGTTTAGAATTAGGACTGCGGCTGGGCAACTGCTTTCACTATGCACCAGCTGAACAGCATCCAGGTCAGTCCAGCTGAAGGACCCCTGAGATGACTGGCTTCTGAAAGTTAAGGGCTCACCCTCAAAGGGTACACCCTGGATGAAGTGGTAGAAAAAGAAAAGGTGAGAAAGGCTAAAACAGGGGTGGGCACAGACTGGTCAGCAGGCTGGATCAGGCCTGCGGCAGACTCCATTTGCCAGCAGGCCCCGACGTGGAGAGTCCTACAGGCTTCCGCTGCTGGACCAAACCCCGCTGCTCGGGCACCCCAGTCTGTCTGCCCTGCATCCACTGCGGGGGGCAGGATCTGTGCGGGCAGGGTGTGCAGCCAGGCAGCTGAGACTGGGCTGAAGCTGGAAGCGAAGCTGGAGGACAGGGCCAGGAAGACTCTGGGATCTTGGGGCAGCGACAGTGTGGGCTGGGGCAGAGCTACGATCTGTCAGGATTCCTGATGGCATAAAAATGACTGCAATACTTTATTTTTGTAGAGTTAGATTAAACAGCTTGCTACATATACATAAGAGAGTTAATTTAATATAACAATATCCCAGAATATGGAAAACTAAGTATAAACCAATCAAGATTCCTAAATAATCTAGGAAATGTACAAGCAATTTAAGTGTTTCAGAACTACAGGGAAACCTGAGTGCACCTGGCTGATTAACAAGCAAGCAATTAATATTTACATATGTGTTTTACCTTTTTACCATCACACATATAACTGCCATAATTTTTTTTAGCAGTTTCCCATTGTGCTTTGTACATCTGACAGCTGCTTCTTGATGTAGCACAGATATAAGGTTTTTTTCCCCCCATATAGGAAGTAGGAAGAAATACATTCAGAACAGGAAAAAGTAGTTGGCAAAATAAAAATCAAGATGTAGTAATTTGAAAGTTCTGTAAAGCTGACACAGGTTAATTAAAGAGTTACAACCAAGCGTCGCTAAGACATTGTTTTTCTTTCCATTGTCTCAGGCCTACTTAGAAGCTGGAAGATAAAGCCTAAGCTCATTTTCAGCTTTACCACCCGGTAAAACACTGTAGCTTGCTTTCTGTCAGTGGTTCAGAGGTAAGAGCAGAGCTAGTGGCTGATTTCTGTCTGTGCACCAGTGCTTTATACTGCCCTGTAAGATGGTTAACCTTTTTTTTTGGATTCTAGCTAGATTCCAAGGGGTTCCAGTGAATGGGTGAAGTGTTGTGCTGAAAAGGAGTGGGTTTCTGGCTAAAACGTGAATGTAGTTGGTCTAACAAAAGATACCACATTTACCCAAAGAACCTTGTTTGCCTGCGTCCTTAGACCAACACGGCTGTAACGAACAACCCTGAAGTCAGGAAGCAACATGAAGAACTCCATTCATACTCCTTGCCTGCCCTGCCTTCTCTTTACTACTGCAGTCCATGATCCTCAACCTTTGACAAGGGACCAGCATTAGCAAAGCAAGTTGCTTGATGAGATCAGATGGAGCAACTGGCATGCTGTCAAAGGCAGCTCTGTCAGACAGCTGTGCTTGTATTATCATTTGGGGATGTGAAGAGACTACTTTGATATGCAGTGAATGAAGTAAGGGAACAGAATCTATTTTCCTCTGCTCCAGTTAGGATACATCTGTACAGTCAGAAGTGCGACTATAAAATGAAAGTTTGGGTATAACTACGTGCAACTCATGTGAGTACCAAAAATAGTGAAGGAGTGGTGGGATGGATGAGCCTATAAAGTATGTGCTCAAGGTCTCACGCAAGCTTGTATAACTCAAAGACTGTGTCACTGAAGCCTTGGTGCTACTGGAATACAAGCTAAATAAATTAAAGCTAGCTTGGGTGTACTTACATACACTGCAATCAGACCACCCAATAGATGCGCAAATGCAAGTTTACTCTTTGTATGGGCTCTAGATTGAGCTCACACAACACTGAATAAGTACCATCCATTTCATTCACTACCTTCCCTCTGTTGGAAAATACCGTACGTTCACTTATTAGTTATTATCTACCAGTAAAGGGAGTTGAAGCACAGTTGTATTCATTTCTTCTTGGGACCAATGTAGGATTTGGAATCCATAAAATACTTGCCCTTTCAGATCAAGTGTTTGGCTCAACTAGGCTGGTATTAATTAAAAATGCCCCCCCCCCCCCACAACACATTAACTCCTGCCCCCAAAAGTCTGTATTATGAATCCAATTTTTAAACAATTCTCTCTCAGCATGCAGTTCACTCTGTTCCTTTAAAGACACCCTTTTATTCCATGCATTAAAGCCTGCTGGCTTGGTAACACACATTAGAAACAACTCCCTGAAATGCGCACCTCAAATGAAATCTCTCCCTCTACAATGCATTAAGAGAACACATTTTGTGGCTAGATCATATTACGCCATTTGGTTCCAAGTATTAGCCACAATCTAATTACTGCAAACTGATATACAAGCAAGCCAAAAACTTTGTACTCATCACAATCTTTACCTTGGAGTGCCCTAAGCTCATTTATACCCAAAAGCGGTTTGAACACCAACTTTTGAGTACAGTGATTTGTGTGCGTACACACATGCGAATCAACTCAAAGCTGCAAGAAAAAGTCTTGAGGAGAAGAAAAGTCTGGAATTTCTGGACAGCATTTTCTTAACCTAGACCAGCAATAAACATTTCAGTTGCACAACAGTACATAACTGAATGACATCTTGAATTCGCAGAGAAGCAAATAATTAGTCTTACAATGTTTATAAGGAGAAGTGGGACAAAGTGTCTTTGCACAAGAAAAGGGAAAACATGTTTTTTAAAAAAAAAAACCCCAAAACTTAAATTCGGACTACAAAGTTCGATGCTTAAAAATAAGCCTTTATAAAAATCTAAGGCCAGGACCAACTGTTCTATGCATTTCTAAACACTGCATTTCAATGGCAATAGTTTCTAAACAGATATCTCTCTGCAGGGTTTGCTACCCACACACTAGTGGTTGAGCCTAAATAAGAAACAGGCATCATTCATTTTCACTGTCCAACAAGTCTGTGAATTTAGATAAAAGTAAATTAAATTCCACTTCCAACTTCAGTAAGCTAAGGTGCTAACAGAAACAAACCTAGTGTGTAAATTTTTTTTTACTGTATGATATACAAACTAATTTCACACTGTCCTTTTAATATCTTATAATAGAAATTCATTACGCATTAGAAGAAAAATCTTCCACCTATCTAGGACAGCTTGCAGGAGGATTTAGAAGACTGATAATGAGCTGCTATATGGCCCTCAGGGACATGGGACTGATGCCCGATTTCAACACCATGACTTACTTGTTTCTGAAGTATCATGCAAAAAGCTATTTATATACTTAGCATAGGGCAAGTTATTGCATCTTGTCTGCACATATGCATAGTAATTTATATTTTTTCCTGTTGGTGGAAAAGGGGAGGAAGGAGGAGGATAAAAATGGTGTTTCAGAACAAAAGGAAGAAATATCCTTAGCAACAGTCAAATGATTAAATTCCCCACCAATACCCAGCAAGTGAAAAAGCAGTTAAACCAGCAATCTATCAGAGACAAGTAATGTCATTGATCAGTTCAAGAGTGGAAATAATTAGGAGGAAGGGAAAAGAAAATAGTGTCTCTGGGGGGCTTGGGGTGTTTAGGAAGGGCACACAGGAGCGGAAGTGGTTGTTGCACTTCAAGTGTGCCAGGACAGCATCTCTAATCTATTTTCCCCACCCAGCAAGATTGTAAGGGAATGCAATGACAGTGGTGGGGAGATTATTTTGTAAACATGCAGGTGGCAGTGATGCTGGAGTGACAGCATTCCTAGGATTTGGGGGAATGCTTGACCGAGCTGGAGTTGCTGAAACAGCAAGACATCAGGTTGCAGCAGTCACTGTGTAAGTTCTGCACCTGTGCCTCAGTTTGCTATCATTAACCAGGATACTGGGTCTGCCCATTCTTCTGTCATTAAAGCTCCTTTTGTCTTATTCTCTCACTCGAGGTTGCATCTTTCATGCCATTCAAAGCTTCCTGATCTGTTATTTCTTAGAAACCTCTTTTGCCTGATCTCCATTGTCAACAATTGTGCCAGCTACCATCTGCAAGCCTTTCTATTGCATTTGAAATAAGACTCCCTGTCTTAAGCATTACAGCATTACGCACACCTATACTGGTATATAATTATTAGAAAAAAAAGAGAATGTGGTACATAAAATAAAACAAAGGGGTCTTAAAAAAACCCCAAAACAGTGCAAACATTTACGAAGAATAAATCCTTTTCCAAGGAAGAGAAAATGCTAGCTTACTTGCATGGCAGAATGCGGACAACATCGTTCTGCTTGTAACTCTCAATGCAGACAGCACAATGATCAAAGTCTGGGTCCGTTTCCTAGAATGAACAGCATGAAAACTAAAGTCAAAAGTTATGACTATTAAAAACAATGCAGGCACTTTGCAACTGAAGAATCCCACTAGCCCACGGAGCACTAGATATGCAAGACGACTATTAAGAGGAAGATACAGAAAGTGACACAGGTTATTAAATCCTACCACATTTCCCCTCCCGCCCCAAAACCCACGTTTTACCTGCATGTCAAAGTCACCCACTCATCTAAAACTACTGTTTATATGTACCTGACATTTAAGTTAGAGGAAGACAAGACAGCTGTAACCATTTTGTATAAACAATCTCTTCACATTGACTCAAGGAGGCAGTAATTTTCAAGGGTGTTTTATCTATGATCTAGTCTATGGCTATGGTTTATAAAACATTTTTTTTGTATAATACTAAAAGACATTCTTTCATCCTCTCCTGTAATAAGAAATGACATCCTCTCCTGCCATCATTCCATGCTCCAAAAAGTCCAGCGTGCTCTCAATCTTCAAACCCTCTCCACAGCCTCAAAATTACTCATGCCCTTCTTAAGCAGAGAGGGATTCAGGTCAGGATGCTTGCTGGCTCTGCAGTATTTTGCTACAAAGATTACACTCCGATTACTGTTTCTACATTGACAGAAAGAATTTCACTTATTTTCAGCTTTCCTTTGGAGAAAGACAGATGTCACGTAGGCATATCCATGGCATTGTTGGTATACAATTAAAACCTTTGTGCCGCACACACAGACTGTGCTTTCTCCCAGCCCAAATTCAGACAGTTCTTTTCAACACCAGCAAAGTACTGAGACAAGGACATCAAAAACCACAGCAAGACAAAATTAGCAACTCTGCTGTCGGAAACAGGCAGTCAATATTTCATGCAGAGAACCCTGATGGGCTGCACTGATGAATGACAGATTTATTCCTGTATTCCTTTCAACTACATATACGCCTCCTGCTGCCTGTACTGCAACCTCCATATCACGTAACAGTCTTGCAAGAAGACGGCATCTTTCCTCTCTGTATTAAGTTCTAAATATATTCACGTAGGCAAAGATCTATTGCAGAAAGTTCTTATAGCCAAAAGGCATGGGGGGAGGAGGGGAGGAAAAGAACACAGGCTTGGGAAAAAACATCTTCCTCAGATTTCTCTTCAGGCAGGCACAAATTCAGAAAGCTTCTGCCATTAGAGATGGTACTGGTAGGAAAGATGAGACAGGCAGGCCTAAAAGGCCAAAGAGAAACTGCTTGCTTTTTAATACCCTTTATTTAAAGTCAGGTCTACGCACGATGCAAAATGCAAAGGGACAGTAAACGAGGCTATAAGCAAACCTCTGGTAAAACCAAAAACCTGAAGAATACCTACAGATTTATAATTTACAGTGCATCAATTATTCTGTGATAGCCAACCACAATTCCCACAGTTCCAGATGGAAGTGGCAAAGAAAATAACCTTACTGTGAATCCAAGGAGAGGATGTGGTGGTAAAGATTACAACTGCCTAACAATTAAAATTTTTAATTTTGTAACAGCTACAAGCATCCTTTAAGTAAAAGCCAGTGTGCAATTCAACTTGTGTCACTCCAAGAAGACACAACTGTTGAGAAATCACTTGTATAAAAAAAAAAAAAAAAAAAGGCATCTTCCTCCCTAAGCCTTCTTCCACTTTGCATAATATACATGCAACTGCAAGTTTACTGCAACTTGCATTACTGATTTTAACCCTGCCTTTTCTTTGGTACTGATAATTTATACAGAGCATAGTAAAGAAAACGCCATGATGGTTAAACAGGGTTCTGCATGACGCTTTCTGTACTCCTGCCTGCAAAACCACCAGGGCCAGCTAGCACAGAAAAGCACCCGACGTTCAAGTTGCCAGACAGCACTCACCAAGTTTACAGGCAAGAAAACTTCTCCTCTGGGGAAGCAGAAGTCACCTGGAGCTTAGGGCATACTGTAGACAGTAAATATTACAGAGGGTGACCTCTCCAGCAAGCCACACAGTAACAGATGAAAAGGAGGAAGAAACAGTAAATTCTTTTTCCTGCCAGAGTGAAATACAAGGCTCATGTTTATTGTGAGAAGTCTCATTACTGTACCTTATCACCCTTCTTTACTGTCCTGGTTGCCAGTTTGCCAATGGCTTTCTTGGCGGCATCTCCAAGGCGACGCTATTAAAAAATTATAGAAAGAACACAGGGATTAGTGCTGAGAATCAAGCTATTTTTTTCCTTTAGAGGACTTATTTTGGCTAACTATCAGCACTGCAACGTCTGTCTGTTATAGCTAGGCCAGTGCACAAATTGTAGAGGGTACAGTAAAGACACAGGTGCTGGCAAATATATCCAGAGAGAACATCCAAGTACAGACCACATGGGTACAGTCAGGGTAATCAGGAGTCTCAGGCTGTTGTAGCCATGGCTTAAAAACAAAACTCACCCCCCCAGCCACACACACTTCAACAGAGCTATTAAAGACACAGGACAGGCATAGAAACACATGACCTTTCACTAATTTATGTTGCATTCTGCTCTAAATTGCTTTTTATTCAGTGAGCCATAACAGCCTTCCTTTTTCTCTCCATACACTGCTTAGTTCTGTTTTTCCCCAGAAGTGGGCAAATCTACCCTAAAAGGTTTATGGCTATTTTTTTTCCCCATCTCAACACAACCTGAAACTACCATTATCTATACATGGGGAAACAATTTAAGGACCATGAAATCTAAATCAATCAATACAGATGAAATAAAGCTCAAATGAATACTGATTCCAAAACTAAACTCTACTGGGCTGCAAAGGGTCAAGCCACTCTAATGGGCAGCGTTGCTTGGAAGCAGCCATTTCTATGCTTAAAGTGCTGATCCTAATTGCAATGCCCTGTTTGGAGCCAATTAAGAATGGCTATTTGCCAGCTGCTTCAAGGGATTCCAAGGACAGGTCACTTTGAGCTGAGCAAAGCTCACGTTTCCTTGTTTCAATAACCAGAATGCCCCGGAGAAACAGGATTAAGTTTACACTGATCAGGACTTTTTCCCCCTCCCAATCATTTCCAACTCCTATAGTCATATCACATACAATTATTGCAAAAATGTTCCACCTTCACCCCTTTCATCCCAAGAAAAATGTTGGGTTTTGAAACTTGTTCATTCTTTGACTCTGAGTAGATGCAAACTGCACATGATATAAGTCACTATAGGTCTGTGAAAGAACGCACTAAGTAAAATGGATTCATTCATCTCCAACCCTTCATAAGCTTGAAAAAACAATATCCGCTTTACAAGGCTATAGCTTTTTCTATGACTTTTTTTATGGGTTTCTAGACAGCCAAAATGAACAGGACTCCTTATGTTTAAAAGCAAAAGGCCTCTATTTTGCCACCACAAATGTGTTTACACACAACAATCACTGGAAAAGGCACATTATTCTGAATGTGCACAAAGGTCCATGTTTTCGGAGCCAAACCTAAGGGGCCAAACACTACTGCACCTTCCAGCTGGGGATAGGGGGAAGACAGTGGGAGGCAATGTAATTTAAGGTGCATCTAGACCTCCAAAAGTCTGGACTTGACTAGGGCCTTCTTGGTCCCCAGTTTAAGTTAGTGCAGCCTCTATTCTGTTAGAAGTGCTTTGCCAGTAAAGCTGTACTGGTATACCATACCAGCACAGCTCTCAGTGTGGACACAGCTTACACTGACAGAACTGCATTTTTGCCAGCATGCACTGCTAGCTGCTCATAGCCTGGCTCCATGCAAAATCACTTGCATCAAGAAGTCAGCCGTTTTAGTTGTATAAATGTACCTATACTCTGGGCTTTTGCCAGCACAGGTATGTCAGTAGCTAAGCATACATGTTTACCCTTCTCCCCTGAACAGCTAAGTATGCTGGCAGAATGTTTTTACATCGATATAGCCTTATGTGCATTTTCACACTGCCTATGGGTCATGCCAGCAGTCCAGGTAACTAGAAGACAACACCAAAGCCCTTCTCTTGCTCTCAGCTGGCCTGTGTTGTCACCAGGGATGGCATATGGCTGATACACCAGCCTGAGCTGCCAACAGAACAGCCTGTGCTAGTGGACCAGCTCAGGGACATTATATTCACAAATAATGGTTTGTTTGGTTTTTTTTTATGATCCGAGATAAAATAGTCAAAACACTTCCCAAATTCGGTATTCACAAATACAAGCAACTGTGCATGCTGAAGCAAGGCAGGTGCCACACGGGCTTTCCACAAGTTGGGCAGTGCAATACATTCTTGACCTTCAAGCATCTCTGCAATTTCAGTATAAAGTGTGTATTTCAAGATGTTTGTAGAGCCTAACAGTCCGCAGGACATGCAAAACTAGTGAAAGCTGTTAAATTTAAATCAGGTGAGAAGTTTAATTATGGTTTAATATTGAAGGAAGGGGCTTATAAATAAAAATGCTGCCCTAGAAATAAAGGAATAGTTTTTCCATACAAGTGTCAAATTAAGTGGCTGTTCTCACGATGTATTCAGATAAAGTTTTCATTGAAGAAATGTCTGTACAGAAGGAGAGCACTTGCACATAATTACAGATATCAGGTATCTCTCCACTAAACTGCAACCACACCTTCAGTTAATCCCTGAAATCGCTATGCCTCTTAGAACAGGACATGAATGTTATTATGGTCAATGGAAACTGAAAAACAGATATGCAGAGGATTTTGCTGTTAAAGTGCTTTTCAATCCTTTGGAGTATATCGATTGTAGGAGGAGCTGGCACTATCACCTATGATTAAGGGCAACTCATTCACTTCTGACAATAAAGATACTGTTTTCAGTTTGCAGATAACTGCCAATTAACAGTTTGGGCTGAATCCTTCCATGCTAGGGTCTGCCCTTTTCAGCTAATATTATTTAGCTGTTTCTGAGAACATTGGGAAAAAAAATACATTTTCTCCACATTAAGAACAGACTCCTACAATTGTTTCACTGAAGAGCTCCAAGACCGTCATGCTATAAAGAAGGAATCTGAAACCTGGCAGGAGTTACCCTGATGTCGGATGCTTTCCCTATGAGAACCCATCCAAATCTGGCTGTTATGAGCTTCTGGGGAAAACAAACACACCAACCAACCAGCCAACCAACCCTTCTTTGAAAAAAAAATTAAAAAAAATAAAATAAAAATATATTAAGATTGGTATCTAAATTCTCTGGAGTTTCAAACAGTATTGGGTAGGTTTCAGTCTAGAGGCATATATGATTTGAGCTGGACTTGATGGCCACACTTGGTAACAGAGCAGGTTTTTGGTAAATCTTCCTCCGCTGGTGCCTACAGAGCAAAAAGGACACAACCTGCTTGAAATGGGAGGATGAGAAATGGTGGGGGGCAAGAAGAGGGCAGTAGGAAGTGAGGAGGAGAGAGCAGGAGCAAAACGGGGAGGCTAAGACTCAGGATGTGGTAAATAAGAGCAAGGTAGACTGACAAAGTTGGCCTAAAGGGACAGAAGGGGTTTAGTCAGGACAGCACG